TCACGTATCCAAAAGAGCAAGTGGAAGGGCAGCAAGGCTCACAGCACTGGGACAAAGTTTAAGCAGATTTTCCATGCTGCCTCTCAGCGAGCAGGTCCTTGGTTCAAACCCCAGTCCAGGGGCCTTTTTGGGTGGAGTTTGCATGTTCTCTCCGTGCATGCGTGGGTTTTCTCCGGGTACTCCGGTTTCCTCCCACAGACCAAAAACATGCATGTTAGTCTGACTGGTAACTCTAAATTGTCCCTAGGTGTGAGTGAGAGAGTGAATGGTTGTTTGTCTCGTTTGTCTTTATGTGTCCCTGTGATGGACTTGTGACCCGTCCAGGGTGTACCCGGCCCCTCGCACAGTGATTGCTGGACATGGGCACCTGCGACCCCCGTGACCCAAAATGGAATAAGCGGGTAAATATAATGGATGGATGGATGGATATGAAAAGAAAGGGAGTAGGGGTGGCCCTGAAGGAGGAGTTTGCAGGGAATGGTGGACAGGTGAAACGGGTGTCAGATAAGGTGATGTGTCTGAAGTAGGCCTGTCACGATAACAAATTTTTCTGGGCGATTAACTGTCTCGGAAATTATTGCAATAAATGATAATATTGTTTGAAATTTGACAATAATTAGTAATTATTGTAAAACTTAAGAAGAAATGTTTGAATTGGTTTGCATGTAGTACCCTTTTTCGACCACATGATGGCAGTATAAGACAGTTTGAGCCAAAGGATGGATAGTGAGGGAGTGAGCAGCATGTCTCTTTAAGAAAAATGGGAGGGAGGCCCCTTGACATGACATGGGCTGTCTCTCTTTGGTTCTCAGAATGGCAGAAGCTCAGTGTGGTTTGAGCTTTTTAGCATAGCATTTTTTACACAAAGCTTTTAATAAAAATAAGTAATTTCTCAGTTTATTTTTGCAGAGAAAAACTACTTTTTAGACAAAGGCACAGGCTTCAACAGTGAATTTTGGAGCTTCGACAAGACATAGGTTTTTTTCCCTGAGGTCGGCCTGTCAGTAAAAGCTGCTAAATCAAAATTCTTCTCTGATATAATTACCTCAAACTCTCACAATCCACGTGTCCTCTTCTCCACCCTAAACTCTGTTCTCCACCTCACTGAACCACCACCTCTGGAAGCCTCGACTGAGCTGTGCGACAACTTCTTACATTTCTTTTTGGAAAAAATTGCGACCACCAGGGCTCTCATTTCCCCTCCAACTCATGACCCATCCATCCCACCTCAATCTGTAGCTCCTTTTGACCATTTTGAACCCATCACTCTATCTTCTCTAGAGCAGGTCATGTGCAGCTTGAAACCTTCTGGTTCCCCCTTTGATGTGGTCCCCCCTCGACTACTAAACAAGGTGTTTCCAACTCTAGGTCCGTCCATTTTTGATATAGTAAACAGTAGTTAATCCACTGGCGTGGTGCCAAAAACCTTTAAATATGCTGCTGTCCAGCCTCTCCTGAAAAAAACAAACCTTGAGCCCTCAGTCGTTTCCAACTACCGACCTGTCTCCAAACTCCCATTTGTTTCTAAAGTACTGGAGAAAATAGTTGAGTCCCAGTTGAAGTGCTTCCTGGAGGATCACGCCATCTTAGAGCTTTTCCAATCTGGCTTTAAACCTCTCCACAGCACTGAAACTGCCCTGCTGAAAGTCTTTAATGACATTTTCAAATTCACAGATACCGGTGATTCTGTGCTGCTTGTCCTGTTGGACCTCACAGCCACCTTTGACACCATCGACCATGAGATCCTCATTGCTAGGTTGGAGCAGTGGGTGGGCGTCACAGGATCAGCCCTCAATTGGTTCAGATCTTACCTCGCTGACAGATCCTTTTGTGTCTCCATCAAGGATTTTAGTTCCGCAGAGGTAAAGCTTAAATGGGGGGTTCCGCAGGGGTCCATCCTGGGTCCCCTCCTATTCTCTTTATACCTGCTGCCGCTTGGTGCTATTTTCCGGAAACACAACATGCACTTCCACTTCTATGCCGATGACTGTCAAATTTACTTCCCCCTAAGACACAATGGTACATGCTCTATTCAACCGCTGCTCAACTGCCTGGCTGACATCAGGGACTGGATCGCTTTAAATTTCTTGAGTTTCAATGAAAAGAAGTCTGAAGTCATGTTGTTCCCTCCCAAGGACACGATCACAAACCACTGCATCGACCTCTCCGCTCTAACCCTGTCAGAAAAACAAAGAGTCACTAATCTAGGCGTGATAATGGACCCTTCCCTGAAACTTAACAATCATGTAAACATGATTGTAAAATCATGCTTCTTCCAACTGAGGCGGCTGTCTAAACTGAAGCCCATATTGTCCAAACAGAACCTGGAGACAGAAATACATGCATTCATTACATCTAGGCTTGATTACTGCAATTCGCTCCTGTTTGGTATCAGTCAGACCTCCATTGCACGACTACAACTGGTCCAGAATGCAGCAGCCCGATTTTTAACCAGTACAGGCAAAAGAGAGCACATTACACCAGTTTTGGCCTCACTGCACTGGTTACCGGTTCACTTTCAAATCAAGTTCAAAATACTCTTGTTTGTCTACAAATCACTGAACAGTGT